AAATATATTTCGTATTCTTTGTGAATTTAAAGTGGATAAAGATTTAGTGTCATACTAGATTGTACTAAGAGCATGCATCATATAATTGATTAGTGAAAACTAAGGTTACAGTCGGCACAACTGAGGAACACTTGTGTTAGGTGCAAAGGCGAACCTTGAGGGTGGTAAAGGGGATGACCCAATGATGTAGAGTAGTTCACATGACTGAGTCACGTTGCCAACAAATCCTTGCCAAGCCTGACGTGAACACCTATTACCAAAATCGTGGTAGGCCCATTCCTGAACGACGCCTATGAGGCACATGATTAATAAATGACTTGGAAACAAAATGTGCTGGATGTGATAGTAGAAAATGGAGTCCTCTGATTACCTTGAATTTTGAAAGAAATTATAGGATCTCCATGCATTACATACACGTAGAATCTATACTTCACACATATCATGCATTACTCGTCATAATATTTAACTGATTATGACAAATTGTGAAATTGTAGATAATAAGTTTCTATTGTGTTATTATTGTATGGATTATCTTTGTTTTCATGGACTCATTGTCTGTCTTTCTTTGTGTTTGGTATTTTGTTTTTGGAATGTGTGTTACATATTATACATAGATGGGTTCAGACAGGATACGAATGATGATACGCCTGACCGCGAATGACTTGTGGTACTCTGACGACCTTAAACAGCAGACCTTTTTACCAGGGATTTGCTAGGTTGTCTCTGGGCTCAATTACTAAGGCAGGTTAGGAACCATGTTGTATTATGGACTTGCCAGTTGAGATTACCTTCCCATTGCTTTTATATGTCACCAATATTCCATTTCTTTTGATAAATCCTAGGACAACCCCTGATGTAATGTACCCGACCCTCCTTCCCTCCTTCTACTGAACTTGAATGGACTGACATTCAGGTGATCAAGTCTATTATCCGACCTCATCCACCTACTCTTCCAGCTAGACTACCTATCATCAATGAAGTTGGACCCTCACATCATAGTCCCCTCCCACCTTTACCTCTCCTAACTTCTCATTTATTTGCACCCAGACTTGGATGGATAGAGGATGTGGACCTTAATGTGTCACCGATTACTTCTTCTGACTCAAATCCTTCAAAGGAGTGCACTCCTCAAGATTGACATCCTTGGGTTGTTATATATTTTGATGAGTGAGACTGTTTAGGATAATATAGCGGTTGACGTCATTTTGAATTATTGATTGTCCCCCTTAAGATGTAGTAGTATATAGTACTCACTATGTTTCTTGTGATATATTATTTACTTTTGCATTGTTAATTGACATATTTTGGTTATTAGGTGATGATTCCTTGATGTGTATGCTTTGATTGATGTATAGCATAATACCTCACTAACAGTATGAAAAGCAGTTGTTTAATCACCTAGAATTTCATATAATAAAAATAGTAATAACTTAGGTTATTCACATTAACTTTCTTCAAAAATTCTGAATATTGTAGGCATGCATAATGATTGTGTATAAATGATATACCTTAACAAGGTAAAATAGGTACATATATATATATATATATATATATATATATATATATATTAAAAACCAAAATATATAAAATTAAAAATAATAATATTAATAAATTAAGTTACTCACGTTAACTCTCTTTTCAAATACTTTAATTTTACGATTACATAGTTATATTATATGAGTTTGATGGAACGCTAAGATGTCACAAAAATTATACGCCCTAGGTTCTTCTTGATTTGTTTATTATCAGATGTGTTATTTTAATTTCTGTTTACTTAATTTTAGATTTAAATCCTTGTTTGATTTTATTTTCACATCCTTTAAGTTTAAACAATTAAATTAAGAATTTCTTGGTACTTGAAACAATCCTTGTGAAACAATAATTCGAGAACTTCTTTTAGAAATCTCTATTACTTTTCGATAGGTACACTTGTCCATGAACAAGAGGAAGAGCAAGTCACAAAAGAAAGCAAAGAAAGAGAGATAGAATAATGGGAAGCAAGGTGAAAAAGGATAAGAAGGAAGAGTAAATGGAAGGTATAGGTGCAACTCTTAAGGGGAACAAAAATGAAGTTATGTATGAAACTTGAAGTACCTTGATTCATATTTTTAATTAAAGGAAGAAACACAAGGGAGGGAGAAGAGTTATTAGAAAACATAGTTGAAAGTTAGAGTGAGTTACTAATTCTCACTCTAGTGATAGAGGTCCATACTCAGATGGATGAAACAAAAAAATGGTGTTAGGAACTCTAAATTTACAAATTTAATTTTATGTTTTATTTAAAATTTTAATTTAGCAATTGTTAGGTTAGATGTTCATTATATTGCAAATTTGGATGCCACTTAGTCAAAAGTAGGGTTAAAAGATCACTAATAGTAATTGTCTACTTGAAAAAACTTGAAATAGATTTAAAACATGAGACCTATAAGGGAAAAAAAAATGTTACAAGGTAAAAAGTTGATACAAATACAAAAGTTAAGTGATGAATCTACTAATTTAACCTAATAATAAAATATGGCCGACGAACCATTCTAACTAATTCACCTAAAGATGAAAGTTTCAACAAATCTAGATTTAAGGCAATACAAAATAAAAATTAGTTCACATTTAAAAAACAAAGTAATTTTTTAATTCAAGAATTAGAGCATATTTAATTTCTGTTTCAAAAACAGTTTTCTATTTCATCACAATAGCCTTATACTCAACATAGTTCCAAAAATATACTTATTATATTTTACTTTAAAAAACTGTTTTTAATTGTAAAAGCTACAATTAGTAGTATATAAATTGATTTGCATTTAGTCTTTTATACGTAGTGCAAAATTTTCTACATGGCACTTGTGTTCATCTCAAAGAACAATAAACTTTGTTGTACTTTTCCTTAGGATATATTTGGGAGGAAATTTTTAAAAGAAAAGAGATGAGGAACATATTTTTTAATTTTAAATTAAAATATTATTTATCATTTATGATAACAAAAGCATTATTAATATATTAAATTTATGTTAATATATCAATGTATATTAACATTAAAGCTTAGAATTCGTTCTTAAGTTTAACATTAAAGCTTTAAGAATATTAATTTCTATTTTGAAGTTAAGTATGCTTGCTTAAAAAAAATTTCTCTAAGTATGCATTGATGTATCTTTCTATTTCTCTAAGTGCCAGTAAGCTTTTCTATTAATGATCTCGACAAAAAAAATGGATAAATGAATTAAATTTTTTTTGTTAGTTTTCATGTAATGTCTCCTCAGTCAATTTCAACAATTCTTTAAAACAATTAGTTTCTGCAGTGAGATTTAACACTTTATACCAAAAAGACTAAATTGGGACAAAAAAAAAATTTGAGTACTAAAGAACCCAAAAAAAGTTATAGAACGAGTTTGAAACAAGAGAGTTATGCGGACCAAATCAGTAATTTTGCGCATTATTTATAAAATGAATAAACCTTTAATTTGCTCTCAAAATTATATAAATTAAACATTTTAATCTCTTAAGAAATCATTAGGTCATGATTTCACAGTACGTCATTTACTTGTGCCAAGTATTCAAATGAACATTTTGCAAATAAAGGGCTCCTAAAACATCATGAACTAAAATATCAGAAATATACAACGTTAAACCCTAATTTAAAAATTAAATCAAAATGTCATAACATAAACTAATTCACACATACAGCCGTATGGTGTGGTTTGGGCTTTCAGCAATCCTTATTCTCTTAATCAGCCAAACATCGCATTTCCCCCAAGACCATGTAAGGTGCAATATAGCAGCAAATAAATACTCAATTCACTGCACGAGTATGACCATTGATGCCTTCTAATATAGTCCTATACACATGAACTTCATAGTACATTAGACAATTACTCAGACATCATGTTGAAGTGTTGCTTTTTTCTTGATCCAATTGTTCAATGGTCAAGATAGCTTTTCACACGGTATATCTCTAATAATCTCTCTACTTTCAATTTTTTTTATTGTATTTCAATCTGAACACAATTTTATTTTGCACCAATTTTACATGTTAGGGGCAACTTGTGTATTCTATGCCTCCCTATTCAATGCCATACACTGCTCATTGGTAACTTCTAGTTTGCTCAGGGAAACCATACTAAATGAATATGCTAGAAACTCATAATATTTGTCGCTGCTAGTGGGTATTTTGATGTGCTACATTATACCAACTAAAATTCAAAAAATATGGCACTCTACAATTTAAGGAAGTAAAGAAGAAGTTAGTCAAATCTAGTTATGTGGATACATTCATAGCTTCTACAAAGTTTGCACAAGGTGAATGATTTTAGCTTTCTTATGGATATGTTTTAGAGTTGAGTTTTGGAGGGAAAGAGAAGGTAGGACAAATTCTCCACTTCTAATAAACATTCCCTAATTTCATTTTTGTTTAATATAAAATAATAGATTAGTATAAAGTTGACGTGTTAATATTTTATTTACTTTTATAAATATTTCATAACTCTCTTAAATTAAAAATAAAATATTTACCCTTTCCTTACTTCACCTCCAAAACCCAACTGTCAAACATACCCTAAGTGACAAAATCTACAGGTTGACATTAGCATCAACAAAATTCTCTTAATCTACCCACCAAACTTGCCAAAAACAACACTAGTTAAATAAAAGGGGAAGGTCCTTAGCAGCAAAACCATAGATGCAAATGGAGATTCCACATACCACTCAGCTGATAATCAACTGCACATGATAAGGTCTCACTAATAAACAACGTGAGTTCACTTTGTGAGTCATGACGGCTGCAGCTGAAGTGAAAAGACCCTGTAATATTAGTTCAGACCAATGAAATTAGCATGGAATGTGATCCACGCCATGGTGTCACAAATTGACTTCTACAATTCCAAGTGTGAAAAACAATTGTAGCCTTCTAAGAAACATTATTTATGGCACAACAAATCCATGTGAAGAGGACAAAGTCAGAAGAACATGTGGATGCATATCACTAGTTATATACTTATCTAGCACATCATGGCCATTCCCAATGCAATTTTTTCACAAATTACACGACTTCACTGATTATTTATAATAAAGTTGGAGGCAAAAAAGGGCCAGGTCCAGAGACTAACATGATTTATTTATAGTCAAAAACACACCTACACTTGATTTGGATGCATACAATCACTAACTGGAATTTCTAAACTGGATCTGGCTCTTGAAATAAATCATCCATCTGTTAAAACAAAATAACATAGATAGAAAGGACAATCAGCTTCCCTGGGTGAGATAATATAAGTGTTATCATTTGCTAACAAATATGTTGGTTCCATAGATAAAATTAGAACAAGTGTAATTTGCTTGCATACTTTTGAGTAACACACGTCCAAAATTTTTTTTAACTCCATAAATCAAGATAAAAAATTTTAGATAAAGACCAATGGGAAAGCTTCAATTAATACACAAGTACATGCACATGTGAGTGAAGTAATAGACTAATAATACTGTTAATCAACATCTATTATGCATATAATATCATATAACGGATCCCCATAGCACCTGAAGTGAATTCAAGGAATTAGGAACTAAGTTGCCTAGTTAAGTTTTAATCAGTAAATGCTAATGTATCAACACCCCCCCTGGGCAGCAATATAAAAAATGGAATTGAAAACAGTGTAAGGGAACAGTACTAACTTTGCAGACTAGGTAATTTTGATACTTCCAAAGTATTTTAAAATGCGTACTTATTTGATGCTTCCAGAAAATGGAAGTAATAAAAATTGAAAATGACACATTATACAAGAATTCTGCACTAAATTTCATTTCTTCAATATAAATGTTTCTGTTCTAGAATTTGAGTGTGTGGGTGCAATTTAAAACTAACAGATCTAACCTATATCACATACATTTGCAGTGAGAAACCATAAAATTCTTACTTATTATCAATATTAAGCTAACAAAAGAAAGAAACAAAAATGTAAACTGAAAATGAATTTTTTTAAAGGGAAAAAGATACATATAAAGAGAGAAAGAGAGGCACATGTGTTTATTACAAAGACTGAATCTGAATAAATAGGTGGTTTTAAACATGAAAGAGATCTCAAAACCTTTTTAACCATGAATACATTGCCATTACCTTCCTGGTCTTGAGCAACCTTAACCAAATGTTAACCAAAAGAGCCGCGGCATTTTGATGATCCACATAAGCATTTCTTTCTCCCTTTGGATGCACTGCTACCCTCAGCGCGATCAGATCCAGCAAATCCATAATCATATGTTAACTCTTTCATTGGTGGAATGTGTCTGAGGGCAAAAAATGCAACATGCAGGTAAGATTGGTTGTTTTCTTCATATATGACAGGCTGCCAGAAAACATTTGGGGAGCAACTATGATTCATGAATCTAGCCACATTTCCAACATTCTTGGCACTTATAATTAAAGGATATGGTATAGCATAATCCTCACTTGAGTCATTGGTACCCACTTCTTCCAATAACCTAGGCTCATAATTCCACTTGAATTTATCATAAATACGAGTTGTATCAAAAACATACTCATCTCCTTCCCTCACAAGCTGACTTACCTTGGCCCTGTCAATAACTTCTCCAGCATATTCACAGATAAAAGTACCAGCACGAATAGGATCCAGGGATCTAAGACCCCACCCTCTATCCTTTGTTTTAAACACTTCCATGTGGTGCTTTAAACCAGTTTGGGATACTCGATTTTTGCAGTTAGGAAAACACTGGCATGTGGGGCCACATTCATGAACCAATGGCTTCCGACTAACCAGAATGTTACTGCCAGTATATGGAAAGTCACCTTCATTTCTCCTAATGCAAGAGCAGTTCAAATCACCAGGGATACATGCTTTAGTACAGCAGCATCCATGCGAAGGCTGCATTAAACTGAATGATTTTGGATGTTTAATAGAATGGAAATAGGTGAAATAAGCAGGTGCCTTCACATTATCAACCTCGTTGACAAGTGGTACAGGAATACTCTCAGCTCCCGAAGAAAGGTCTGCAAGAGTAAGTCCAGTCCTTGGGGAGCCAGATTTCCACTTCTGAACCGATTTCAAAACAGCAAAGGCACTAGGCTGTCCAGCCATTCTTACTAACTTATACTTAAATATGCCGCCGCCACTTTTTGCTTTTTCTATCCATGAATCTTGGATTTTATACAGGCCATCATAGACATAGATCTTTGCATTTTGATTCACACCGTCTTTCATGCCCCGGATGACTCTTACTTCATTGTGTTGCCGCGAACTCCTATCCAAAGCAAGATTACCCCTGTGAAGCTTTTGATCGATTGCATGCTTACCTTTCTTGAAGAAGTTCCCACCCTGACCGGTATAAATTATAACATCACTATCCTCAGCATCATCGTCATATTCTCCTGATGAAACAATGCTTACAGCAAGAGTTTCCTCCTCAAACTCACCCCTGATATGCAATGCATCAATTCCACCCATGGAGGGAGCATGCAAACCTGCAAGACATAATTCAATTCGGAAAAAGAAAATGTCCCCAATCTCAACCCCAGGAACTGGTCCTATTCTCTTCCTCATGTTTGTTCGAATTCCTTTGCTCATCAAAGTATTTGAAACTTTCAAATCCGCACGCTTGATTGAACCTGAGCTCAATTCCTTGGCTTCTTCCAGTTGACAGAGCCTTCTTCGAAGCGCATCAAACGTCATGAGCACAAGATTAACCACTTCACGGCTACCATCGTCTCTCTGAGCTGGACTAATACCAACTAAAGCACTTACATCAACATGTGACTCTTGACTTATCTTATCATTCTTTTCAGGTGATTTGTTGAGGCGAGGGCGTCCTCGTTTTTTCTTCCCAGAAGTATCACCCTCCACTGTTGCACTAGTGTCTCCTGCCCCTAGTGGGCTCCTAAATGCCCTTATGGGAGCAGGTATGGCACCACCCCCTGCTGCCACCCCAGTGGGAGTTTGATGAGGTGCACCAAATGGGAAAAATGGAGAAAACCCAGAAGGGTACTCCCCAGAGGGTGCAGCTTGTGACGACATTGGGAAAACAGGTATCAAACACCGCATAGGTTTAATGTCCAAAATCCTGGACTTGTCAATGGAACCTGGAGGAGGAACTGAGTTTTGGCTAAACCCTTGTTCCATTATAGAACCGAATCAACCGATCAACCTTCACTAGCCCAAAATTTCCTCTCTATTATGTCTCAAATTCCTCCCTTTTCCCCTCAAACAAAACCCATACTAACCTTTTGCTTGTCTTTACTCTAGTCCAATCTACACAAATTTATCAAATTCATCACTTCATTTCAAAACCCAACTTGGAAAGTTTCATCATTGTCTGCATAAGAGTACAAATGGGTCATGCAATCATGCAGATCTTGGGAAAAATGTTTCTTAGATGAAACCAAAAAGGAAAATGAGATTAAGTGGAAATTTTACTGAAAAATAGATGGAGCCCACAATTTGCAAAGTTCTAACCAAGCCAGAGGGAGGGATCAGACTAAGTACGGTTTACTAAAAACAAGAAAGAGAGAGAGAAATGTTGCATGAAAAGAAAAGATTGCTGGTGTTACCTTGTGGTTGTGGGGTGCTTGATTGTTGAAGCTTGAATTGGAAAGTAAAGGGTTGAAGTTGCAAGTGAAAAGGAGGGAGAAAAGGGAGCTAAGGTTTTGGGTACATAGTAGTAGCAAGCTGTGTTTGGGACCATGTGCTGAGGAAAATGGTTAATAATTATGTCATATTCTGTATGGAAACACGTGCTGTAATAAAGATTCACGGCTTAAAACGTTGTAATAAATAGTGTATAAAAAGATTGTATATACACATTAAATCAAGGTTTTATCTCCATTTACATTTAAAAAAACTTACTATTGACTTTAATTTATTTCTTTAGATATACTAACTAACATTTAATATTTTTAAATATTAATTAAATAATTGTGCGATATTAAATGTGATTGGAATAAATTTAGATAGAGTTTAAAATTATTTTTATAAAAAAAGTGAACAATAAGTTGGTGTGAATAGTAATTTCGGTATGAACAGTAAGTTGGTGTGAACAACAAGGCAGCGTAAATAGTAAATCTGACGTGAACAGTATTCAAATTATTATTTTTTTTGAATTTTGCATATAAATTGGGAACTTTACAAGAAATTTTCATTTTTTACACTTCTCAAAGGTTCTAGAGAAACTTAAAGTCATATACTACCATTTTCTTTCATACTAAACCTCTTTAAATTTAGATTTTTCTTCAGAACTGGGATCGTATGTTCATTTTAAACAATTTAAAGTAAGTTTCTTTAAGTTTGAATCTAGATTTACCATTTATTTCTCTTTATCTCAAATTTCTTATAAGTATCTTACGATTTTTAGGATAAACTTTGATTCTAAAGCAAAATATTCAGTTAAATCTTTGAGAAATCCTTATCTTAAGATAAAAGGGCCTCTACTTTACATTGTGTTATGTATATTATTTGTGTTCTTATAGATCTAGTTATATATATGATTATATGTGGAATAATCTTTGTTTTGTGAAAAATAATAGGTGAATAGTGAAAATAATTGGTTGTTTATATGATTTTATGATGAATATATGAAGATATATGGTAAAAATATGTTATTATATTCAAATAATGCATGATAAGGTATATTGAGGATGATTAATATGATTTTGTAATTTTGTGATATGAAATGTATGTTTAAAGCTATTATGGTTCATGTAAAAAAATGAAAAAAAATGATGTGAACATGAGAAATGACATATATGAACATGTGAATATACTCAAAAAGAGTATGAGATGGAAATAGATATGATGTAAATAGTTACAAAGATACAGTGGAGGGTGGAAGATAGAGACGATATGAGATATCTTGGAAAAATGCAGGGTGGTGAGTGACATTCAAGGTTGTACACGGAATATTGTATACGAATGCACTCTATGGCTGCACACTCGTTTCTCGACTTGATTCCTAACCATTACCGTTGCTAAAGAGCTGTCTATTACATGCGTTGTATTCATATTGCATTAGGTCATCCGACGACTATTTATATAGATGTATAAGACCTCGAAATAGAAGTATCGGATAACTATGGCCACAGAGTGTAGTGAGTGCGGATAATGAAAAAGAAATTACAAATCTGTGGAATATAATATGTGTTGATATGAGAACTTGCTTTATATGACACTGTGATATGTAATATCATGATATTTTCTTTAATCGTGATAAGATGTGTGTTATGATGAATATGTGTTATGTATGAGTGGTAGGATAGAGACTCACCCTTACATAACATTTTCAATAAACCAGGACGAGTAGTACCAAACTCACAGTGTGCATAGATGGATAAGAATTACTATAAGACTTAGTTATTTTGAAATATATAATGATTACTTTCAATTTTATAGCATTCTTTTTTGTTGATAATTTATAAGACTATTATCTATTTCAGACACAAATGAAAATTTAGTAAACCTTGTTTTACTGTAATAAAATTTTTATACAGGTTTATATTATTTTCACACTTCTTTCTCATTTATAAGAATGTTCAAAGAAATTTATTTTATTTTATTGATTCTTTTATGAAAATATTATGTATTTAAAAAAAAAATAAGGCGTTACATGTTATTCCACTATCATATATATAATTAAATATCGTTATTAGATATTGCAATAAAATATTTACTTATAATATATAAACTATTTCACTAAATTAATAACAAAACAACATTTTATTATATATTTTTATAATTATTTTATCATAAATTATATAAATATAATTTATATTTTTATAAATTTATTTATACTCAATTAATTATTATTTATTATTTTATTATTTTATTTTTATAATAATAAAATAAATTTTTTATTTTTATTTTATAATAAAATTATTATCATAAATATATTTTTTCTTAACTTGATTTATGTATATTAAATAAAATATATTAATTTGTAATTGCAATATCTATTATAAATTTATACTAATATATAATAAGAAAATAAAAAATCATCAATTACAGATAAATTTATAAAGTATAAGTTTTGATTTTTATAGTTTATAATAGAATAATTATAAAAAAATATCTATTATAAAACATTATTTTATTATTTTTAATATTATAATTTTATAGTAATATTATAGTAGTTATATTTATTTATGTGTGTGATGGATGAGCAATATATATTATAAATGAAGAAAGAGAAAAGTTAAAAAAGAAAAAAGGTAAAGTAGTAATTAAAATTGCATATTAGTTTTACAATTTTAAAATAGAGATTGTGTGTATAGGTGGGTGGGAATCAAGTTATTCTAGGAGTAAATCTTGTTAATGTGATTATGCTTAATAAATTTTTATAAACATTAAATTTTATTAATTCAATCGTTAAATAATATAATTTATTCACGTTGATCATGCATGTCAAACTAATATAAATTAAACAATTTACAAATATATAATTTTATAATTAATATTTATTTATATTTTTAAAAAGTATAATATATATTAAAATTAAATAGTTTAATCATTTACTTTTTAACTTGTATGTTTTTTGGTAAACTTGACTTAGTTAAGAAATTTTTTTAATTTGATAGTTGGATTAATGGAATATAACGTTTATAAAGTGTTATTAAGTTAAGGAAATCTTAACTAAGCTACGTATTAAAAAAACTTAATTTCTATTTATTAAATTACAATTACAACCGTGTAAGTTATTTAAAAAAAAAGTTACATTATTTAACAACTATTTGTTGGAGACTTTTATTATAAACCAATTGATGAATTAAAAGCTTTTATCATTCATCATATTTATAAAACTTTAGATTAATTTAAAGATATTTGATACCTCGCCTATGTACATCAAATTTAATATGTAAAAATAAAAAATATTTTATTACGCTCTTATATCAAACATAATTAAGCTCTTATATCAAACAAAAGATATTTTAGTAAAATTTGATATACATAATCAATATTTCATTATAATTTAATAGTTATATTAATAAAAATCACAGTTTACATAAGATCATTTCCAATGTAATTTTTGGTAAAATTTATGTTAGTATAATTTAATCTATTGTTTGCTGCCTCTCTCCCATTAATGTATGTAAGAAAAAAAAATTAAATTATACTAGAGTAAGTTATAACTAACTTTAAACTATTTAATAATTTTTATTATATAATTTAATTATAAAACCAACTATTAGATTAAAAATTTTAATTATATTATTTTTACAAAATTTTATATCACTTCAAAATTATTTTATACATTATCTTTATGCATGCAAATTAATTTAATATATATATTTAGAATATATAAAAGTAAGAATATTCAATTTTGACAAAACATGACATAAATACTTAATGTAATATATAGTTATAATTTAATAGTTGAATTAATAAAAATAATATTATATATAAAATTATTGACAATGTAAGGGAAGATGTAACTTGCCTTACATTGATTTAATTTGATCCCTTTTTTAGATAATTAATCTTAAAATAGATTATTTAAGATTAAATATTATTTAATTTATTATTTTTAAATATGAGAGATTTGTTAACTTTTCCTCATAATTATCTTTTATACCAATTTTTTATATTATTATGGGATAAATTTAAAAAAAAAATCTTATATATTAATCAATTTAGATATCAATATATAAAATTTATACTATAGAAAAAAAACTATGAAAATCATGCATAATGTTACTTTATCAAGCTCATTAAATACACAAAATCTTGTGATTTTATTTAGAAGTTTAGATGTATTTGAAGGTCATTTAGAAAAGCAAAAGGTAAGAAAACGTTAAAAGGAGAGCCCATAATAAAATCCTTTAACATAACATGTAAAAATAATGTGAAGAAGGGTAAATCAAACATAAAGACATAACATAAAATGCAGACTTTTATGTTGGCTATCAAAAATTGGTTAACATTTCCTCTATTTATCTACAGGATTTGTAAAGGTAAAAAGAAATAACAATGCACTTACGCAATACGTATAATTGATTTCAAACAATATAAATAAGAGATAACTAAATATGAAGACAAAAGAAAATAAAATACAGATGATATTTGACTTTCGTGGCTTAATTTTTCTTTTATTCACTTGTAAAGATTTGTAATAGTATACAGAAAGAGCTACAAAATCGTGGAGCACAAAAAATCAATTTCAATTTTTCAAAAGACTATTTGATGGTAGGTTATATTTATTTTTTTGAGTGTTCATAGGATTTTTTTTCCTTTGTAATTCTTCGGAACGAGTTCTAATACAACATACCAAGATAACATGCTAATATAAAAAATGACATTGTTAGGATGAAATTATTACTTTTTTTTAATTTAAAATTTAAAACTTGTAGAACAAAGTTCCTTAAAATAGAAAAGGATAAAGAGAAGTACTAAAAAGGTTTTTCATGATATGCTAACACCTCATCAAATTTTTTACAAAATGAATTCACAAATGTATATATCATAGATAAATTATTAAACATTCTTATTATTTTTTATATAATTTTTTTACTATTATTATTTTATGTATGTTCTTTATTAAAAAAATTTCAACACTCTTAAGAATATTTTATTATAAATACTACTACGCCTTACTGCAACAAAAGTTATTTTTGTTTAGACAGGTGATA